ATCTCTCCCTCGCGCCTCAGGAGATGAAAGAAAATGTTTTGCTCCCTGAGTCTGGCCTTCATAATTCCATTCCATCACACATGCCCTCCTTCCCTGGGCCTCCCTATGCTCACACATACCTGCACCACCCCCTTCCCCCAACTCACGCAGGGCCTGTGCTGGGCTTCCCAGGGCTTCCCCCACCCCCTGCTACACTCCCACATTCCTTACCTGGGACTCCCACCACTTCCCGCTTAATGACCCATGCATCTTGAGGTTAGGACAACAACTAGGACTGTGCTTTATGTGATGATGTGCTTTACGAGTGCTTAGCAACTGCGATCCTAGTCCCAATTGCCTTCGTAACTCGAGGACTACCTCTGTATCCAAATACTATGTGACATGTAATTTATAAATCAGAAAAAACACTTGTTTCTAAGTTTGCCATATATGAATCATTCTAACTTGGGAATGAACAAAAGGCATGTCTCATTTTGGAGTGTTGGGATTTAAACTTTCATTTCAGATAAGTATTTTGGGAAACAAGATACCCAAGTTATAACCAGATTTTGATATATATTTATATGTTCATATAGATATACATATTTATTTTTCTTTCTTTTTTATGTATCGCTTCCAGGAGCATGATGCTGAACCCCAGCCCCTGAAAATTGAAGAGGATAAAGACCCTGGAGGTAAAATTAAAACTCAGTCTTGGTCGTTATGTTCTCAAATTGTGGGTCAGTTCAGTCACATAGAATGTATAGAAACTGCAGAAAGACAGATGACAATGAAATAAGGCAATGCCTAATTTTTGCAATCTAAACAAAATTGAATATTTTCTTGAAGAAGCAGGCTGACCTAGACTGAGGCAATGTAGAGTATGGAAAAGACCTAGACCCAGAAATGGTGAATTATTTGTTATTATTTTATTATAACATTCCTGCATCACTCTGGATTGTTCTGTGGATAGTTCAGAAATAAAAGGAAAAACTATGAATTATTTAAAAAACGAAGTGTAAATATATAATGTTAATAATTGCAAGGAATTGCATAGTGAATCTCCCACAATTCTAAGGATTGCTAAATAACATATGGAAAAGAATTATTTTTTTAAAAAAATGGATGGCAATCTATAAATTTTAAAAACAATACCTTTGGTTATTTTTTAAAAGTTTAGAGTGCAGCAATAAAATTTGGCAGTTTTTAGTAGAATATTGGTTGATGTTCTTGAGAAGCACCATTTTATAAAAGCATATTCATAGTAGGTATGTAGGGTGAGAAGTAAAATTTAAATGTGTAAAATTCTCTCATGGCAACTACTTTTTTAAATACATAATTGCTAAATTGCTTAATTCATAAAATGATTTACTTAGCATATTACACTACTATGAAAGTAAATGATCATAGATAGGAATTGATTCAAATGTGTTCACTTCAGCAGCACATATACTAAAACTGGAACAATACATAAAGATTAGCATGGCTCTTTAACAAAGATAACACAAATAATTGGTGCATTTTTAAAAATAATTTTTATTGAAAATTTTAATAACAGTAGTAAAAGGCAATATAAGCTAAAGTCAAAAAGCAAAATAAAAATAGAGAGTAGAAAGTGCAAAATAAGAAAGGAAGGAAGAAATAAGAAAAGGAGAAAAGAAATATTTAAAGAAACTGACTTCTGATCTTCATCACAAGAAATAGAAACAAACTCAGTAATTTTTCACCCTCAGATTAAATGCAAATATCTCTTCTTCCCATAACCCATCCCTTATTCATATGCAGATCCATAAATCATTAACATTTCAGTCCTGTTTTCAGCAAAAAGTCCATAAAGGGTTTCCAGAGCTTTATAGAAACATGCCTTGTTTCTACATGCCTTGATCAAACAAACCAACTTTGTACTCCTTCCTTTTGCCTCTTAACAGTCTTGGTCTTTAGTTCATTCAGATGTCGCAGGATTTGATCTCTCTTCAAGTTTTCTTTTTCCCATCTCAAAGGTTTCTTTGACTTTTGTAAATCCAGTAAGGAGTCATTATCCAGGTGATCTTAGCTTATCACTTGTATTTCCACTTTAACTGTCATCACTGAGCTATAATCCACAATTTTTAAATTTTCCAGTATTTCAACAATTTCTTTATGTTCTAATATTTCTGCATCAGGGGATTCTTATTTCAGCTCTTTATCCTGTAGAACTTCCAAAATATTCTCTTTCACATCTGTCATTTCTTCTTTAACATCTTTTGGAAATAGTCTATCCATAAAAACAGACTTCATTGCTGACTTTATAGCTGCTACTTTCTTTTCTTTTTTTATAAGAACTTAAGTTATAAAAAGCATAAAGATAAAAGCAAACAAGAACTAATGGTCGAGAAGAAAAGTAGAGAGAAAGAAAGTTAGAGAAAGAATACAAAAGTGGTGGAAAGTAAAGAAAAGAAAAAAAGAAATACAAATAGAATAACTTCTGGCCTCTTATATAGCAGATATAGATAAATCATATATTTAGTATAATCTGTTAATTTAACTAATCATCAAATCTATATATCATAATTTCATTTTTTTTTATCTCCTGCAAAAAGTCCAAAAGAGGCTTCCAATTGGAATTAGTTAATCAAGAGTTTTTTCTCTAAGCAAAGCTGTCAATTTTGCCATCTTGGCTAAATCCATTAACTTCACCATCCATTCTTCCATTGTAGGTAATATCGAGTCTTTCCACCTTTCAGCATATAAAAGTCTAGCTGTAGTTATCATATATAAAAACAAAGATCCATGAGCTTTGTCAAATTGTTTATCCACCAGTCCCAAAAGGAAAGTCTCTGGTGTTGATTGTATATTAACCTTCAGAATCTTGGATTAATATATGAATTTGAGTCCAACATTTTTTAGCTTTATTACATGTCCACCAAAGATGGTAAAAAGTTCCTTCTTGTTCACATCTCCAACATTTAGTTGAAACTCCTTTATACATTTTTGATCATCTTTCTGGTGACAAATACTATCTATACATCATTTTATAGAGATTCTCCTTCAAGTTATAACAGTATAAATTTTAACCCTTTTATCCACATATTTTTCCATTGTTCCATTTGTATATTCAAAATTTTAGCCCATTTTATCATACAGTCTTTAACTTGTTCATCTTCTGTTTCAAATCTCAACAAAAGCTTATACATTTTAGCAATAAGATATTCATCATTAGTACACAATTCAATTTCAAGAACAGTTTTGTTTTGTTCATAACTGTATGTCTTTTTATCAACTTTAAATTTTTCTCCAAGATGTACATATGAAAACCAGTGAGATGAATGTCCTTGTGATGTCAAATCCTCTCTTGATTTTATTTTAAGTACAATTTGATATTGGGCAAGGCTAGACCTCCATCTTGGAACACCTTATATTTAACTCGTGTTTTTTTACCTTGCCAGATAAGTTTAGTTATAACCTTCTGTCATTGCTTAAATGGTAAATCAGTAGTCACAATCGGTATTGTCTGAAATGAAAATAGCATCCTAGGCAAGACAAGATCG